AGGTGTATGCCGTGCCTCCAAGCTTTCTTACTCGTTTTGCTAATAAACGTTCTATGTTTCTTATTTATTTGGTTATAAATAATACGTTTATTCATGTTTGCTTATCCTATTTCCAACCTATTTAAACTTTATGTAAGTTATTTGTTATTTTATATTAGGCATAGCCTGCCCTATAGATTTTATTCGTTTTATTCGTTTTGTTAATAAAAGTTCTATGTTTTATATATAGGCTAAAGTGAGTTTGACTGTTGTTGCTTGTTGCATTCAAGCAATTGACGCCTAACTGCCGCTAATTCAAAAGTGAAAGTAAAACGCGCCAATTGCTTTACGCCGAATTGCCGCTATTTGAAAGTGAAAGTAAAATGCGCACGCCGCTTTTACAAGCTATTTAAAAGCGAAGGAAAGCGAGAGAAAGAGGGAACGCCCCCGCCCCCACGGTGATACCGGTATTACCGGTGTTGTCACACGTCAATTAACCGGTGGGAAAATTTCCTCACCGTCACAACCCTACTAAAAAACAGGAGTCAAAAAACCAACAACTTTAAAACAGTGTGGCGACCCATCCAGGTGTGAAAGAGCCATGTTTAGCCACTAGATGATTGTACTGTCAACACCTACATAATCCTCACAGTCAAACTGTCTCACCCTGAATCTGAACTGAGTCTCAGACCTTCACAATCTGATATGTTTGCGCTATCGGCCTGAGGAACCAGTGGAAGAAGCAGGAGTGGTAAAAAAAAATGCTCAAGAGACTTTGACGGCTAACAGGATTAGTTGCCCTTGAGGATATACAGCAACCATTTGCTCCATTATGATGATTTTGAGTCTGTGTGTACCAGAAGAAGTTATGGTTTCTATGATCTTACAAACATTTTACACAATTAAAGACTTCTGCTGAAAGGCTTGAAATTAGTTTTTAGGCAAACATAAATTGTGCCTACATATGCATTTATTTATAAAACTAAACTACCATTCAAAAGTTTGGGGACAAAGTTTTTTTATACAAGAGAAAAAGAAATTAATACTTTTATTCAGCAAAGATGCATTAAACTGATCAAAAGTGACAGTAAAGACATTTATAATGTAACATCTGAAACATCTGTGAATCCTGAAAAATAAAATGTATCACAGTTTCCACAAAAAATATTGGGCAGCGCAACTGTTTTCAACATTGATAATAATCAGAAATGTTTCTTGAGCAGCAAATCAGCATATTAGAATGATTTCTGAAGATCATGTGACACTGAAGACTGGAGTAATGATGCTGAAAATACGGCTGCGCATCACAGCAATTAATTACATTTTTAACAGATATTCACAAAGAAATCAGTTCATATAAATTGTGATAATAATGAACAATATTGCTGTTTTTACTGAGACTTCTTTAAAAACATTCAAAAATCTTGCCGGCCCCAAACTTATATTGAACATTTTTATGGATTAGTTGGAGCAGATCATCATGAAGCAGGAAAAGCATCATGAAGTGGGCAGTACGCATTTTCCTCCAATATATTGTTTAATAGCATCCCAGGATGCAGCTCGGCTCTCTCCTTGTGAAAGTCTATGGTTATAGAGCCACTATAGCAATTGAACAATTGACTCAGTAAGAAGTGTGTGGTTTGTGCATGTGGATGGATTTTGAGAGCATGGCTTGTTTGTTTCTGTGCTTTATAAAGGCATCTCAGTTATAATGTCACATTCCATCAGTGTTGAAGAGGAAACACAGTAACGCTCTAAAGGGGCAGTTCATTAAAGACATTCAGGCTAAATTATATTCAGTATTGATCAGCACTGAGCATTTCCATCAGTCCTCTATGCTTCTGAATGCTGCTCGCGTTGATAAATTGCCCACTGAGTGTTTTATTTTTCATCTCTATCTCTTCACAGATTTTCCGTCGAGCTGACAAAAACGGTGAGTCTGACCTTTTGCTATGTCACATTTAAAGTGTTTCTCTTTTTACTTTTGCATTTATTCGTTTTGTTAATAAAAGTTCTATGTTTTATATATAGGCTAAAGTGAGTTTGACGTTGTATTTTGTTGTTGCTAATTCGAAAGTGAAAGTAAAATGCTACGGCGCTTCATGTGACACTGAAGACTGGAGTAATGATGCTGAAAATACGGCTGCGCATCACAGCAATTAATTACATTTTTAACAGATATTCACAAAGAAATCAGTTCATATAAATTGTGATAATAATGAACAATATTGCTGTTTTTACTGAGACTTCTTTAAAAACATTCAAAAATCTTGCCGGCCCCAAACTTATATTGAACATTTTTATGGATTAGTTGGAGCAGATCATCATGAAGCAGGAAAAGCATCATGAAGTGGGCAGTACGCATTTTCCTCCAATATATTGTTTAATAGCATCCCAGGATGCAGCTCGGCTCTCTCCTTGTGAAAGTCTATGGTTATAGAGCCACTATAGCAATTGAACAATTGACTCAGTAAGAAGTGTGTGGTTTGTGCATGTGGATGGATTTTGAGAGCATGGCTTGTTTGTTTCTGTGCTTTATAAAGGCATCTCAGTTATAATGTCACATTCCATCAGTGTTGAAGAGGAAACACAGTAACGCTCTAAAGGGGCAGTTCATTAAAGACATTCAGGCTAAATTATATTCAGTATTGATCAGCACTGAGCATTTCCATCAGTCCTCTATGCTTCTGAATGCTGCTCGCGTTGATAAATTGCCCACTGAGTGTTTTATTTTTCATCTCTATCTCTTCACAGATTTTCCGTCGAGCTGACAAAAACGGTGAGTCTGACCTTTTGCTATGTCACATTTAAAGTGTTTCTCTTTTTACTTTTGCACAGCGGTTCAATTGCAAGTCTTATTTCAAATTAAAATCAATGAAACGAAAAGCATTTTTCTTGCTTTCTGCTTAGTCACTGTAAATAAACCGTTTGCATAGTTATTCTGCAACAATATCCTGATGCATTGGTTGACAATCTCTCTGGGTGTGCATACATTTGAATAAATGAGTTCAACATTGTCTCAGATGTTTCTCCTAAAAAGGAGACATTAGACACAATGACACAAATGAGCCAATAAAATTAATGCAAATAGCAGCTCAGATCATTTAATCATGGAAGAATATGATGAGAAATGTTTGAGATCTTAACATTTACATTCATGCATTTGGTTGAGTTTTAGAGCTTTCAAATGATACATTTGATCAAATTCATGCATTCCCTGTAAATCGAACCTTCAATGGGTACTTATTATGCAAAATGCACTTTTATAGTGTTTTTGAACATTGTTAAGTGTCTGCACTACAGTGTGTACGCAACCAAAAAAATCCATCCACTTTTGTTATTTTCCCCATAAATCAGTAACAGTGTCTCAAAGCTGTTCAAGAATGTGACGTCATTCTGGAACAGGCCCCGCCCACGACTGGTAATGATGGCTGTGTACAAAATTGCATACTTCCCTACTATATAGTAGGCGAAAAACACTGTGTCACAAAAGATGTATGTCTGAATTCACAGTACTCAAAACAAGAGTAGGCAAAATTACCAGGATGACCTACTACTTCCGGCATGAATTTCTGAAATGTGCATATGACGGACAATTAACAATCGCATAAGGCCACGGGAGAGCATTTATGAATGGCAGTGACGCAACGCAACTGAAGCTGATAGGTCACAATAGGCAATATGGCGCATACAGTACGTCCAGATTACATTCATACTATAGAACGTACTTTTTTTGTGATTGTACTCAAGAGAGTATGCAATTTCGAACGCAGCCTATCTCTGCCTTATATTAGCTTAGCTCCTCCCCTGAGTGAGCTGTACATGTTTATCTCCTCGCTAGAGCATTTAAAATCAGTGTTCAAGCAAGAAATTGATTCTTGTAAAGCTACTTAAGTTATTCAGTCAAGAAAAGAGAGTCATTTTCTGTTTTTCTTTTCTTGTTTGATTGATATCAGCATAGACAGCAGTAGATACTTATATTACGCTGCTGTCATTTTAACACACAGATCTAATATAAACATTTAATTTCTTTCCTGGTTTACATTCACAGACATAAACGACTTTGTGTTTTTGACTTAATTTTTTATGTATTTGACAGTTTAAGCACCATAATAAAAAATGTAATGCCAAAGAGAACTTGGTTTAGTACTCACATGACACACCATGTTACAGCCAGCTTTCTGTGCGATCATTTCAGACATGTGTGCTCAGAAAACAGTATATAAGAAGTTTAAACTGCTATGGCTTTAAAACCATGCAAATAATAAACTTTCATGATGTCAAACAAACTGCAATGTCATGTGCGCATGACATAATAATGATCAAAACCAAACAGATGTTTTGTTTTGGTGGAGTATCCAAGGCATGAGCTGTAAAGGGTCCACCCTCGTCTGGAAAAGGGGGTGGGGAGCAGCAGCTCATTTGCATTTAAAGAGACATGCACAAAAACAGCATGTTTTCGCTTCTGTTAAAAATGGTCATTTTCAGTATGGTATAATAAATTATCTGTGGGGTATTTTGAGCTGAAACTTCACAGACACATTCTGGGGACACCTGAGACTTATATTACATCTTGTAAAAAGGGGCATAATAAGTCCTCTTTAAAGGGGTAGTTTACCCAAAAATGAAATGATTTTTTTTGTCATCATTTACTTTCATTTATAAAAGAAGACATTTTGAAAAATGCTGGTAATCAAACAATTGGTGGTCCCCATTGACCTCCATAGTATTATTTTCCCTACTGCGGACCAACAACTGTTTGGTTCTTTAAAATATCTTCTTTTATGTTCAACATAAGAAAAAAAACGACATGAGGGTGAGTAAATGATGAAAAAAAAATCACTTTTGGGTGAACTCTTGCTGTTGCTAGTGGAACACAAACAGATCTTCTTCAGACTTTTGATTGCTTCTCAGACTTGAGCACAGTTTGAGACACTGTTGAGATCTTTATTTGCCTCTCAGTTAATCTTATTGCTGTCTAGAATACAATTGCGATGCTAATCAGGTCACATCTTTCTTTCCTATGAGTGCTAACGAGAATTTGCTTTGTAATTTCTGGGAATGCTAATACAGGCAGTTGCAAAAAAGTTTTCATTTTTATTCATAATGCATAATGTCTGTTTGATGAGTTTGAAGCCTGAGAGTAATCGGAGTCCCTCAGGCACATGTGCGGGTGGCCCGTTGCTTTATCTGAGCCGGAGCCAATGACCAGCCTGTCACGAAATGCCTGTTTATTCTTCAAAGGCCTGTAATGCACGAGGATGGCGAGGGCGAAATGAACAGAACGACGCACTGTCCAAACAAATCAGAACTGAGTGGCTGTCACTGGGGCAGCACAGTCCTTTCAGAGGTCATTATCATTGTTCCAGAATGCCAATTACCTTCTTGCCACTTCAATCATGCTCTCATCATGGCCAAGGACGGAGAGAAACTGAAAGAGAAGTGGAGTGCGAGAATATAAGAGCGGCAGAGAGAGAGAAAGTGAAAGAGCTGCGTTTGTGCTGTGAAAAGCCATAGTTAGTGGACTTTGCTAAGGCTGCATCAATATTACTACTGCTCATAGTGAGTTTAAACAGACCTCTGACATTACATGATGTTATCTTTGCCATTTTACTTGCTCAAAATGCGCAAAAAGAGGTGGAAAAAAACATAGATGTACATTGAAGGAGGGAGCTGAAACCAGAATATCAGAGAGTTGAGAATGGACCACCTATCAACCAATCAGAACACCTTAGTGACCACCTTGATGACCCTAGCAACCACTTAGGACAGCATAGCAACTACCTAGAACATCATTGGAACACCCTAGCAACCACCCACAACACCCTAGATACCACCTAGGGCGTCCTAGCAACCACCTACAACACCCTAGAAACCGCCTAGGGCATCCTAGCAACACCCTAGCAACCACCTACAACACCCTAGAAACCACCCAGGTCATCCGAGCAACACCCTAGAAGCCACCTATATGACATCCTAGCAACCACCTACAACACCATAGCAACCATCTACGACACCATAGCAACCGCCCACAACACCCTAGAAACCACCTAGAGCATCCTAGCAACACCCCAGAAACCACCTATAGCATCCTAGCAACACTCTAGAAACCACCTATGACACCATAGCAACCATGTATGACACCATAGCAACCGCCCACAACACCCTAGAAACCACCTATGACATCCTAGCAACTATCTAGGACACCATAGCAATCACCCACAGTACCCTAGAAACCACCTGTGACACCATAGCATCTGCTCACAACACCCTAGCAACCACCTACACATCCTAACAACAATCTAAATATTTTTAAATATTTCCCAAGTCGAGTTGCGTTCGATCAGCCATTGATGGATCAAAAAGTGTCGATGCAGTGAGCTGCTGGTGTCAAACTAGAGCGCGGTTGCTAAGTAGAGCACTGCGTTAGACGAATGGGAAATAAAAACAGAGTTTGGCTGCTATTCTCCTCTTGAGAATAAACTGAGCTTTTAGTCAAGCTATAGCTCTCCTGTGAGGATTTCCAGCTCAGCGACTTGAAGGGAGATTATTTAAAGATTAGAAGCTGAGTTAAAACCAGCCCGTCCTGCTCACACTAACCTTTCTAACTTTTCTGGGTTGTGGTTGTTAAACTTTGAAATTTCACTTTGAGGAAGGGATTATACTGATTAGGGCTGCGTAATTAAGTTTAGAGTATTAATTAAATATTTTCATTCAAGGCATTTAATTTGTACATGAATGTGAAATACCACCTATAAGCATTTGTTTTGCTTTCTGTCCTAAGAAGATATGCTGTTCACAACCCATTTTACTTCCATAATCACATTAAATGCAAAAAAAATAAAAATTATTATAGTTATAAAATAGTTATTTTAGAATTATTTATGTAGTATTATGGTATTTATTCATATTTTTTATTTTTAGTTTTATATCACATCAAATGCAAAAAAGTGTTATTTTACTATTATAAAATGTGTTATTTTAGAATTATTTATATAGTTTTATGTTATTAATATTTTAATTTTTTCAGTTTTCAGTTTCATTTTAGTTCAAGTTTTAGTAATTTTGTTTTGAATTTTTATTATTCTTTATATTTCTATTTAGCTTTCATTTATTTGTATTTTGGTTTTAATTTTAATAATTTCAGTATTTTAACTTAAACTTATTTTATTTCAGCAGTTGCCAAAGCTCCATTTCTAAGATCTTTTCTTTTCTTTTCTTTTCTTTTCTTTTCTTTTCTTTTCTTTTCTTTTCTTTTCTTTTCTTTTCTTTTCTTTTCTTTTCTTTTCTTTTCTTTTCTTTTCTTTTCTTTTCTTTTCTTTTCTTTTCTTTTCTTTTCTTTTCTTTTCTTTTCTTTTCTTTTCTTTTCTTTTCTTTTCTTTTCTTTTCTTTTCTTTTCTTTTCTTTTCTTTTCTTCTAAGTTTTTAAATTGTTTGAATATATGCTAAAAACATGTATTGTGTAAAAAAATAAATGTATGGGCATGTTAAGGGTTTAGTTGGGTTATTTAAAATTTAAAGCATTCATCAGTGGCAGATTTAGACCATTGCTTGTTAATTTCAATGCTGTAATGACAAAATACTCGGCTAGTTAACAGTTATGTACATTCAAATAGTTTCCGGTGTTTTTAGAGTCACTATAAGTCAGTTATTGGTAGTTTAACTTCATGAATTAACATTCATCTGCAGCCCAAAAACTGCTCAACCAGTGGTGCAAATTTGGGGCGGGGCTATTTGTTTGACTGTCCAATGGCAGACAGGGAGCAGGGTCGAAGGGGCG